ATGTATGTATGTATGTATGTATGTATGTATGTATGTATGTATGTATGTATGTATGTATGTATGTATGTATGTATGTATGTATGTATGTATGTATGTATGTATGTATGTATGTATGTATGTATGTATGTATGTATGTATGTATGTATGTATGTATGTATGTATGTATGTATGTATGTATGTATGTATGTATGTATGTATGTATGTATGTATGTATGTATGTATGTATGTATGTATGTATGTATGTATGTATGTATGTATGTATGTATGTATGTATGTATGTATGTATGTATGTATGTATGTATGTATGTATGTATGTATGTATGTATGTATGTATGTATGTATGTATGTATGTATGTATGTATGTATGTATGTATGTATGTATGTATGTATGTATGTATGTATGTATGTATGTATGTATGTATGTATGTATGTATGTATGTATGTATGTATGTATGTATGTATGTATGTATGTATGTATGTATGTATGTATGTATGTATGTATGTATGTATGTATGTATGTATGTATGTATGTATGTATGTATGTATGTATGTATGTATGTATGTATGTATGTATGTATGTATGTATGTATGTATGTATGTATGTATGTATGTATGTATGTATGTATGTATGTATGTATGTATGTATGTATGTATGTATGTATGTATGTATGTATGTATGTATGTATGTATGTATGTATGTATGTATGTATGTATGTATGTATGTATGTATGTATGTATGTATGTATGTATGTATGTATGTATGTATGTATGTATGTATGTATGTATGTATGTATGTATGTATGTATGTATGTATGTATGTATGTATGTATGTATGTATGTATGTATGTATGTATGTATGTATGTATGTATGTATGTATGTATGTATGTATGTATGTATGTATGTATGTATGTATGTATGTATGTATGTATGTATGTATGTATGTATGTATGTATGTATGTATGTATGTATGTATGTATGTATGTATGTATGTATGTATGTATGTATGTATGTATGTATGTATGTATGTATGTATGTATGTATGTATGTATGTATGTATGTATGTATGTATGTATGTATGTATGTATGTATGTATGTATGTATGTATGTATGTATGTATGTATGTATGTATGTATGTATGTATGTATGTATGTATGTATGTATGTATGTATGTATGTATGTATGTATGTATGTATGTATGTATGTATGTATGTATGTATGTATGTATGTATGTATGTATGTATGTATGTATGTATGTATGTATGTATGTATGTATGTATGTATGTATGTATGTATGTATGTATGTATGTATGTATGTATGTATGTATGTATGTATGTATGTATGTATGTATGTATGTATGTATGTATGTATGTATGTATGTATGTATGTATGTATGTATGTATGTATGTATGTATGTATGTATGTATGTATGTATGTATGTATGTATGTATGTATGTATGTATGTATGTATGTATGTATGTATGTATGTATGTATGTATGTATGTATGTATGTATGTATGTATGTATGTATGTATGTATGTATGTATGTATGTATGTATGTATGTATGTATGTATGTATGTATGTATGTATGTATGTATGTATGTATGTATGTATGTATGTATGTATGTATGTATGTATGTATGTATGTATGTATGTATGTATGTATGTATGTATGTATGTATGTATGTATGTATGTATGTATGTATGTATGTATGTATGTATGTATGTATGTATGTATGTATGTATGTATGTATGTATGTATGTATGTATGTATGTATGTATGTATGTATGTATGTATGTATGTATGTATGTATGTATGTATGTATGTATGTATGTATGTATGTATGTATGTATGTATGTATGTATGTATGTATGTATGTATGTATGTATGTATGTATGTATGTATGTATGTATGTATGTATGTATGTATGTATGTATGTATGTATGTATGTATGTATGTATGTATGTATGTATGTATGTATGTATGTATGTATGTATGTATGTATGTATGTATGTATGTATGTATGTATGTATGTATGTATGTATGTATGTATGTATGTATGTATGTATGTATGTATGTATGTATGTATGTATGTATGTATGTATGTATGTATGTATGTATGTATGTATGTATGTATGTATGTATGTATGTATGTATGTATGTATGTATGTATGTATGTATGTATGTATGTATGTATGTATGTATGTATGTATGTATGTATGTATGTATGTATGTATGTATGTATGTATGTATGTATGTATGTATGTATGTATGTATGTATGTATGTATGTATGTATGTATGTATGTATGTATGTATGTATGTATGTATGTATGTATGTATGTATGTATGTATGTATGTATGTATGTATGTATGTATGTATGTATGTATGTATGTATGTATGTATGTATGTATGTATGTATGTATGTATGTATGTATGTATGTATGTATGTATGTATGTATGTATGTATGTATGTATGTATGTATGTATGTATGTATGTATGTATGTATGTATGTATGTATGTATGTATGTATGTATGTATGTATGTATGTATGTATGTATGTATGTATGTATGTATGTATGTATGTATGTATGTATGTATGTATGTATGTATGTATGTATGTATGTATGTATGTATGTATGTATGTATGTATGTATGTATGTATGTATGTATGTATGTATGTATGTATGTATGTATGTATGTATGTATGTATGTATGTATGTATGTATGTATGTATGTATGTATGTATGTATGTATGTATGTATGTATGTATGTATGTATGTATGTATGTATGTATGTATGTATGTATGTATGTATGTATGTATGTATGTATGTATGTATGTATGTATGTATGTATGTATGTATGTATGTATGTATGTATGTATGTATGTATGTATGTATGTATGTATGTATGTATGTATGTATGTATGTATGTATGTATGTATGTATGTATGTATGTATGTATGTATGTATGTATGTATGTATGTATGTATGTATGTATGTATGTATGTATGTATGTATGTATGTATGTATGTATGTATGTATGTATGTATGTATGTATGTATGTATGTATGTATGTATGTATGTATGTATGTATGTATGTATGTATGTATGTATGTATGTATGTATGTATGTATGTATGTATGTATGTATGTATGTATGTATGTATGTATGTATGTATGTATGTATGTATGTATGTATGTATGTATGTATGTATGTATGTATGTATGTATGTATGTATGTATGTATGTATGTATGTATGTATGTATGTATGTATGTATGTATGTATGTATGTATGTATGTATGTATGTATGTATGTATGTATGTATGTATGTATGTATGTATGTATGTATGTATGTATGTATGTATGTATGTATGTATGTATGTATGTATGTATGTATGTATGTATGTATGTATGTATGTATGTATGTATGTATGTATGTATGTATGTATGTATGTATGTATGTATGTATGTATGTATGTATGTATGTATGTATGTATGTATGTATGTATGTATGTATGTATGTATGTATGTATGTATGTATGTATGTATGTATGTATGTATGTATGTATGTATGTATGTATGTATGTATGTATGTATGTATGTATGTATGTATGTATGTATGTATGTATGTATGTATGTATGTATGTATGTATGTATGTATGTATGTATGTATGTATGTATGTATGTATGTATGTATGTATGTATGTATGTATGTATGTATGTATGTATGTATGTATGTATGTATGTATGTATGTATGTATGTATGTATGTATGTATGTATGTATGTATGTATGTATGTATGTATGTATGTATGTATGTATGTATGTATGTATGTATGTATGTATGTATGTATGTATGTATGTATGTATGTATGTATGTATGTATGTATGTATGTATGTATGTATGTATGTATGTATGTATGTATGTATGTATGTATGTATGTATGTATGTATGTATGTATGTATGTATGTATGTATGTATGTATGTATGTATGTATGTATGTATGTATGTATGTATGTATGTATGTATGTATGTATGTATGTATGTATGTATGTATGTATGTATGTATGTATGTATGTATGTATGTATGTATGTATGTATGTATGTATGTATGTATGTATGTATGTATGTATGTATGTATGTATGTATGTATGTATGTATGTATGTATGTATGTATGTATGTATGTATGTATGTATGTATGTATGTATGTATGTATGTATGTATGTATGTATGTATGTATGTATGTATGTATGTATGTATGTATGTATGTATGTATGTATGTATGTATGTATGTATGTATGTATGTATGTATGTATGTATGTATGTATGTATGTATGTATGTATGTATGTATGTATGTATGTATGTATGTATGTATGTATGTATGTATGTATGTATGTATGTATGTATGTATGTATGTATGTATGTATGTATGTATGTATGTATGTATGTATGTATGTATGTATGTATGTATGNTGTAGACTATATAGATAGGACGTACAATTGTACTGATGTGTCAGTTGTAGACTATATAGATAGGATGTAGAATTATACTAATGTGTCAGGTGTAGACTATATAGCCAGGACATCCACATGGGATTACAATAGGACACTAACCCAGGATTGTAATGCTGTGGGTCAGTTGTAAACTACGATATACCGGAAAATTTTGGCCCAGTAAAACTTTCGTCCTTCACCATAATAATCAATATTAATACTTATATAATACATTATAATCAGTGTTAATTTCGGCCTTCACATTTAATTTTCACATCTGCATATTATATTGTTTACTAAGATTTGCTGTAAGGATCAATCCGATCCGGTTACGACAAGCGAAAAAGGCGAAAATTGAACTTCAGCCATTTCCTGGTTTACAGTATAAAGCTAGGACAATGACTTGTCAGTTGTATACTTTACAGCTAATAAACCTTAGCATTGTATGGATGTGAGTATGGTTACAGTAATAAGACGTTACGTTTTACCTGTATTTCAGATCTAGACGGCATTGTAAACCCCTTAGGGTGGGGACAAGTTGGGAGGAACCTTTTCTCAATGTTTGTCTGTGGCGTTGTATTCTTCCTGCTTAACATCCTAATAGAACATAACTTCTTCATTCATAAAAAGTAAGTATCAGTATTGTAACCATATAGTCATTTAACAAAGGCCTACAAGGTGCCAATACAGATTAGTAGTTGTAATATTCTATTATAAACATGTTCACTAAGTAATTTATACATGCTAAATAAATATTACATAAATGGTCACAAAAGGTTGTCAGCAAGACTCACTTATAAAGGTTATAGAGATAATTTTTTTGAATTATTATTAAGTATTTATATTGTATGGGAACTCTCATGTAATCTATCTATTCACACAGGGTAGGACCAACTCCCGAGGAGGAGGTGGAGGACGAAGATCAGGATGTCGCCCGGGAGAGGGCACGGGTCCTCTCAGAGGAAGGGGAGAATGACATCATTCGGATAGACAACCTCACCAAGGTAATACTGGATAAACATAACATTCAAACTGTTTGTAAAAGACTATTGCAGACTTCAGCATTAGAAAGGATTCGACAGTACCTCAAATCAAACGTTTGTGAGAAACTATTGCAAACTGCTTTGTTACAAACGTTTGTGAGAAGCTTTTTCAGACTGATTCCACAAACATTTGTGAGACTTTTGCAAACTGCTTTTTTAAAATATTTTCGAGAGACAACTGCAGACAGTTTCATCACAAACGTTTGTGAGAAACTATTTCAAATTGCTATATTACAAACGTTTGTGAAAGACTGCTTCATTTACTTTTGTAGGTGTACAAGGTGCCGGGTGGCAAGGGACGCCATGTTGCCGTGGATAGGCTCTGTCTTGGTGTGCCAAAAGGACAGTGCTTCGGACTGCTGGGTGTTAATGGAGCAGGCAAGACCACAACCTTCAAAATGTTGACTGGCTACCTGGGAATGACTCATGGAAATGCCTACATCAATGGATTCAGGTAGATCTATATCATCAATGTGTGTTCATGATACAACAAAAAGGCCCAAGTCAGACATGGTAGAAGGAAAATCTTGTATATGTTCATGAACCCTGTGTTATACATATCTATTGTTTTGAAATGCTCATGATTATCGTTATACGTTATACATATATACGTTTTTGATTTGCTGCACTTATTTGTACAACCTACAACCTCTATCTCTTCAGTATTGTGATCTTCTGACCTTTGTAAAACCTCCAATCCATCCCCCAGGTATTGTGACTTGATATGACCCTTGTGTGACCTAACATTTATGTCCCAAGTAATGTGACCTGGCCCTGGGATTATGAAACCATCTTAGACTTACGTTTTTGCTTGGCCAATAACGTCACTTTTCATAATGTAATTTGTAATTGGCTTAGTCAAAATGTAAGACAAATTTAGACTTAAGATCATTTCATGATCCTGGGGTCAGATTACCCTTGTGTGACCTCTGACCATACTCTCCCCCAGGTGTTGGACTTGATGACCCTACAGCTTACGTTCATATCCTCAGTATTTTGACCAGACTACCCTCATGTCATTCTAGACCTCAGTCTCCTCAATATTGTGACCTATTGACCCTTGTGTGACCTCTAACCTTTGTCTCTCCAGTATTATGGCTAGACTACCCATGTGTATTGTAATCTCATGACATTTTCCATGACTTTCTTGTGTAATCGCTTGACATTTCTCCCCTCTGACCTTATGACCTCTGTGTAACTAATTCTAACATCCATATCCACAGTATTGTTACGGCGGTGAAGGAGGTCCGACGCAGCATCGGTTACTGCCCCCAGTTTGATGCCTTTGACCCGCTAATGACTGCCAGGGAAGTGCTCTACTTCTTTGCCAGGATTAAAGGGATCCCTTCATCAGATCTCAAAGATGTATGTATAGCACTCGTTTATCATATCCAGTAGCGACCTAAGCTATTTTATTCACAGTTGTATATGATTCTTTTAATTGTGGAGGAAACAGTCCTTGCTTGAAAGACTAATAGATCATGTTCATTATTGATGACTGTTTTTTTAAGTGCAATTAGTATACAGACTGATGCATTAGATGATTTCATTAATATCTTGACTGAGAGTTAACAGAAGACAGAATTATTTTTGATACCATCCAAAGGAAAGAGATTCTGTTCCTTTGTAGCTGTTAATAGAATGAAATGTTTGGCCAATGAAGTCTGGCTTTTATTACAGCTGTGTTCTCCCCTGATTTAGTGCATGTGTATATTGTCCACATTTTGTAGGTTGTAGACTGGGCCATCACCAAGCTGGGACTGACGCAATACGCTGACAAACCTTCAGGAACCTACTCCGGGGGAAATCGCCGCAAACTCTCAACCGCCATAGCTCTCATAGGCAATCCTTCCGTTATATTTCTGGTGAGTATACCAGGGATACATTATGAAAATTTGGATTTGAGAATATGCTTGTTTTATCAATCAGTTTGGTTAAAAGTATATGGACCTCTGATTTACATTTTGGAAGGGTGAGAATGGGAGATATTTTGGCCTCTCTCACTTTGTATTTAATTTTGGAAAGGTAAGATTGGAAACATTTGGACAGATGACTGACACATATGATAGGATTTATTGAATGAATGTTTCTTAATTAAATGAGCAGTTATTAAGATCTAGTTATTGTGATGACAATTTGTTTGCCTTCTGTTTAATAGGATGAGCCGACAGCAGGCATGGACCCAGGAGCCAGGCGATTTCTATGGAACTGCATTAACAATATTGTCAAAGATGGCCGCTCCGTCATCCTAACTTCACACAGGTACAAATTTAGGATCATGATCTCTATATAAGTTTGGAATTTGATATTAATGACTAAAGCAAGAGAGTTGTGTTAAATTTTCTTTCATGCTGGTGAAAAATGAAGAATGGAGCTACTTGTACCTCTGATTTACAGTTTGAAAGGATGAGAATGGGAGCTAGATAAATGGGCCTTTCTCACCTCTTCAATGTATTTAGGTTATGAAAGCAGGGAGTGGGGTGAGGATGGGAGACATTTAGAGTTTTCTTACTTCAACATTGTGTTGACAGTATGAAATGAGTAGGGGTAGTTGAGAATGGGAGACATTTGGACTTCTCTTACCTTATCATTGTATTTACATTATGGACGGATGATAGTGGGCAACATTTGGACCTCTCTTACTTTATCCTTTTTGTTACAGTATGGAGGAGTGTGAAGCCCTGTGTAGCAGACTGGCCATTATGGTGAACGGGCGATTTAGAGGCATTGGTAGTATACAGCATCTCAAAACCAGGTAGGAGGACTCTGAATGTGTAACAGATTTTATGAAATAATTCAGAGGATCTCAAATAAGATTCATTTGTCAGATATGATGTTTCTGATACAGGTTACATTTTGTCTTTGATTCTTTTCTAAATATCGTCAATCAATTGAGGTCATTGATTCCTCCACAAGAGTATTCTATCGGTTATAATTGTAATTTTAAAAACTGCACTGCAACTTGATATATTCTGTTTTCCATAAACAATTAACTTATTCCTGGTACCTTCCTTATATTTAGGTTACTTCACCTCTAAGCCACGAGTCAAAAAGGTGTAAATCAACAAAATATGCATATTGGCAATATTAAAGAGGAGACATGGGTTTGTTCACAAAACAAATTTCTAGTTTAATATTGCTTTTTTCACTCCATGGCCAGCTGGCAATGAATTTTGGCGTTATCGTTGTGTTTTTTGTAATCTTTCAGGTTCGGGAATGGTTACATAGTGATAGTGCGAATAGCTGGGGATCGCCCCGACCTGGATATAGTGGACAGCTTTATAACGGAAACTTTTCCGTCTGCCAACCTCCGGGAGAGGCATCACAACATGCTACAGTACCAGCTGGGATCTGAAGTACCACTGTCCCACATCTTCTCTGAGATAGAGGCTGTCAGGGAGAGCTTCAACATAGAGGATTACTCAGTCTCCCAGACAACGCTCGACCAGGTAAGATTTTACATTTCACAGAAATATTAATACTCAACCAGGTGAGGTAGGTGAGAAACAATACTTTCTGAATAACCACTGAACTTGTGATAATGGAATGGTGTTTTGACTGACCCGTTCCCCTTTTCTTTCAACACACTTGAAGAAAGGGCTAGCAGAAAACATTATACATAGCTGTTTATTTGTTTATTTAACTTTCCTTAAAAAGAATTGGAGTTTTTGTTATTCAGGATCAAGGTCAGTGCATAGGGGCCGGGAGAGGGGGGGTTGCAAAGGTCAAATTATTTTTGATGCTTCTCTGAACCATATTATCTTCCGACATGTATGGCCAAACCTTTCCTTATGCACTTCAGGCAAGATATGTGGTGTAAGGTGAAAGGTCAAGGTAAAGGCAAGGGTTGAAGTTGTTATAAAACTAGTCTGTACCATTACTGATAGTGCATCTTTAATGCTACTAGTATGAAAGTTTCAATTAACCATAATACCATGATCCTCTTTAAAATGTTATGAGGAAAATTGAAGATAACAGTAGTACTTTTAAAAGTAATACATACCTCCAATAATAATAGTACCTCCAAGAACAGAAATAATAAAACAGGTAAGAATATAACACTAGGAACAAAATCTTGACCAGACAAGAATTTATTTCTTGAAAGTGTAATGTTAACAATATGTTTTGCTCAGGAAATCTTAGCTAAGGGAAACTGCAATCATGGTTTGTTATTAAGGCAAATAAGTGATAACTATTTTTGTTAGTGATCGGTACAAGTAATTGATGAATATATTAGTATTGTGCTATATATCTTGTATACAACTTTTTACAGGTGTTCATAAACTTTGCCAAAATGCAGACAGATTCTTTGGACAGTGAAGCAGCTACAGCAGAATCGGAGGATACCACAGGTATTGTGTTAAATGTATTCCAGCATCAACATGGCTTAATATAACACCTCACTGTATATTGTGGTCATTATTTTGTGCTTATTTTTGCAAAGACCCTTAATCAATGAATTTAATTCTACATTAAAATTTCTAAAAAAATATATCCTATATTTGTTTTCATAATCCGTTGCTTTGAGGATACCTTGTACATGTACAATTTTATGTCTTACACATGTATTCTGATGTGTGACACTATAATAAACATATTTGATTGATTTGATTTGACCTAAAAAAAAATCTTATTCTCATGTTTATTTCTTTTCTTTAACCGTTTGCTGTACGATTTTATTCTTTAATAGATGGATTACAACACGACAACTTAAGTCGCGCAACAAGTATGACGACTGTAAACATGGACAGGAGAATGAGTTCATCCACACTAGGGGGCGCTAGTAGTGCAGAGGTAGTGGGTGATGGTTACTCCACCATCGCGGCTGTGCCACCAAGGGATGGAACAAACAGCGAGGGCTACACCACTATTAAGGAGTTGAGCAGTCCTGTCAAATATGCAGCACCTGCACCTCGACTAAAACGCAAACCCAGAGTACTAGAGTCTCACAATGATAACAATAAGGACGACGGATTCAATATATAGAGGCAAAATGTGGTGTGTTCTGTTAAAAAAACAGAAATATATCTGTTGTAAATTTTAGTTTTGTATGTCGCAGACATTAAACTGAAATGAGACGTACTTCCACAAATGAACAATGAATGACTGGACTTTTGTGTCTTCACTGCCTGGTGGTCTACAGAACTAAAACAGATTACCTGGTGGTCTACAGAACTAGAACAGATTACCTGGTGGTCTACAGAACTAGAACAGATTACCTGGTAGTCTACAGAACTAGAACTGATTACCTGGTGGTCTACAGAACTAGAACAGATTACTGGTGGTCTACAGAACTAGAACAGATTACCTGGTGGTCTACGGAACTAAAACAGATTACCTGGTGGTCTACATGACTAGAACAGATTACCTGGTGGTCTACAGAACTAGAACAGATTACGTGGTGGTCTACAGAACTAGAACATATTACTGGTGGTCTACAGAACTAGAACCAATACCAGGAGGTCTACATAACTAGAACAGATTACCTGGTGGTCTACAGAAGTAGAACAGATTACCTGGTGGTCTACGGAACTAAAACAGATTGCCTGGTGGTCTACAGAACTAAAACAGATTACCTGGTAGTCTACAGAACTAGAACAGATTACTGGTGGTTTACAGAACTAGAACAGATTACCTGGTGTTCTACAGAACTAGAACAGATTACTGGTGGTTTACAGAACTAGAACAGATTACCTTGTGGTCTACAGAACTAGAACAGATTACCTGGTGGTCTACAGAACTAGAACAAATTACCTAGTGGTTTACAGAACTAGAACGGTTACCTGGTGGTCTACAGAACTAGAACAGATTACCTGGTGGTTTACAGAATTAAAACAGATTACCTGGTGGTCTACAAACTAGAACGGATTACCTGGTGGTCTACAAACTAGAACGGATTACCTGGTGGTCTACAAACTAGAACGAATTACCTGGTGGTCTACAGAACTAGAACAGATTACCTGGTGGTTTACAGAATTAAAACAGATTACCTGGGGGTCTACAGAACTAGAACAGATTACCTGGTGGACTACAGAACTAGAACAGATTACCTGGTGGACTACAGAACTAGAACAGATTACCTGGTGGTCTACAGAACTAGGACAGATTACCTGGTGGTCTACAGAACTAGAACAGATAACCTGGAAGTCTACAGAACTAGAACTGATTACCTGGTGGTCTACAGAACTAGAACAAATTACTGGTGGTCTACAGAACTAGAACAGATTACCTGGTGGTTGACAGAATTAAAACAGATTACCTGGTGGTCTACAGAACTAGAGCAGATTACCTGGTGGTCTACAGAACTATAACAGATTACCTGGTGGTCTACAGAACTAGAACAGATAACCTGGTAGTCTACAGAACTAGAACTGATTACCTGGTGGTCTACAGAACTAGAACAAATTACCTAGTGGTTTACAGAACTAGAACGGTTACCTGGTGGTCTACAGAACTAGAACGGATTACCTGGTGGTCTACAGAACTAGAACAGATAACCTGGAAGTCTACAGAACTAGAGTCTACAGAACTAGAACAGATTACTGGTGGTCTACAGAACTAGAACAGATTTCCTGGTGGTTTACAGAATTAAAACAGATTACCTGGGGGTCTACAAACTAGAACGGATTACCTGGTGGTCTACAAACTAGAACGAATTACCTGTTGGTCTACAGAACTAGAACAGATTACCTGGTGGTTGACAGAATTAAAACAGATTACCTGGTGGTCTACAAACTAGAACGGATTCCCTGGTGGTCTACAAACTAGAACGAATTACCTGTTGGTCTACAGAACTAGAACAGATTACCTGGTGGTTGACAGAATTAAAACAGATTACCTGGTGGTCTACAAACTAGAACGGATTCCCTGGTGGTCTACAAACTAGAACGAATTACCTGTTGGTCTACAGAACTAGAACAGATTACCTGGTGGACTACAGAACTAGAACAGATTACCTGGTGGACTACAGAACTAGAACAGATTACCTGGTGGACTACAGAACTAGAACAGATTACCTGGTGGTCTACAGAAGTAGAACAGATTACCTGGTGGTCTACAGAACTAGGACAGATTACCTGGTGGTCTACAGAACTAGAACAAATTACCTAGTGGTTTACAGAACTAGAACGGTTACCTGGTGGTCTACAGAACTAGAACAGATTACCTAGTGGTTTACAGAACTAGAACGGTTACCTGGTGGTCTACAGAACTAGAACAGATTACCGGTGGTCTACAGAACTAGAACAGATTACCTGGTGGTTGACAGAATTAAAACAGATTACCTGGTGGTCTACAAACTAGAACGGATTACCTGGTGGTCTACAAACTAGAACGAATTACCTGTTGGTCTACAGAACTAGAACAGATTACCTGGTGGTTGACAGAATTAAAACAGATTACCTGGTGGTCTACAAACTAGAACGGATTCCCTGGTGGTCTACAAACTAGAACGAATTACCTGTTGGTCTACAGAACTAGAACAGATTACCTGGTGGTTGACAGAATTAAAACAGATTACCTGGTGGTCTACAAACTAGAACGGATTCCCTGGTGGTCTACAAACTAGAACGAATTACCTGTTGGTCTACAGAACTAGAACAGATTACCTGGTGGACTACAGAACTAGAACAGATTACCTGGTGGTCTACAGCACTAGAACAGATTACCCGGAGGTCTACATAACTAGAACAGATTACCTGGTGGTCTACAGAACTAGGACAGATTACCTGGTGGTCTACAGAACTAGAACAGATAACCTGGAAGTCTACAGAACTAGAGTCTACAGAACTAGAACAGATTACTGGTGGTCTACAGAACTAGAACAGATTTCCTGGTGGTTTACAGAATTAAAACAGATTACCTGGTGGTCTACAAACTAGAACGGATTCCCTGGTGGTCTACAAACTAGAACGAATTACCTGTTGGTCTACAGAACTAGAACAGATTACCTGGTAGTCTACAGAACTAGAACTGATTACCTGGTGGTCTACAGAACTAGAACAGATTACCTGGTGGTGTACAGAACTAGAACAAATGTCAGGAGGTCTACAGAACTAGAATGAATACCAGGAGGTATACATAACTAAAACAGATTACCTGGTGGTCTACAGAACTAGAACATATTACCTGGTGATATAGGTCTACAGAACTAGAACGGATTACTGGTAGTATACAGAACAAGAATGAATTACCAGGTTGTATACAGCAATAGAAAGGGACAGATTACCTAGTGGTATACAGGATTAGAATGGATTATCTGATGGTGTACAGGATTAAAGTGGATTACCTGTCATTGTAAGGATAACATGGATTAACGTGTGGTGTACAGGATTAAAGTGGAGTACCTGATGGTGAACAGGATAAGAATGGATAAGATTACGTTGTTTGTATAGGATTAGAATGGATTACCTGACGATGCACAGAATTGAAGTGGATTACATCAATTTGAAATGGATTACAGCTTTGCATATCAGCAGTTATTTAGGCCCTAATCTATTTGACATTCCAGGATGTGATGCCATTGCAAGGTTTTTGAGAAATGATTCCTTTACGTGACGGTGCAATGAAGCTTTTGACAATCTCATTTACCTATAAAACAGTGACTCACAAGTCTTTTGTTTAATTGACTTTATTTGGATAGACAGGATTAGATTTGCAAGTGGATTAAATGTTCTGTTTCCTCCGTAATTATAGGAACCAATTATCATTGACTTCTAACAAGTTTTGAAGATCTTTTTAACAATATTAAGTAGAGATGTCACATTCAAAAGTATCATATGGGCATAGTTACCATATTTGATCACAAATAAGCCCCTCCGTACTGTGGTAAACTTTCCAAAAAGTAGATAAGCATATAATTGACAATACAGAGTAATATAATTGGGGGCTCATTATCATGTCTTGATCATATAAGGCACCTTTACAGTGGTCAATAAATTTAATGATTCATGCTCATAATTATGTAAATGATATTGACAAAGTCTATTTATAATGAATGCATTTAGATACCTGGTGACAAAGATATTTAAGGAACATGTGTAAATAATAATGTGCAATATTAATTCACCTGGATGCTAGTGACAAAGCACATGTTGTATATATTCATGCATATTTAAATGTTTGAGACAAATTCCTTTTCTATGTATACATGTGGATATTAGAAAAAGAATATTTTTTGTATGTACACATGTAAATATTAGTGTCAAAGACTTTATATGTGAATTTACTGTAGTGCTTGTTCATAACACATGAACCTTATTTTTTAATAAACGTTTTGAAAAGAAACTATCATTTGGTTAATGTTAGATTTGTATTTGTACATGGTATTCAGTTCGATTCTTGTTCATGATTTTCATTTGTGCTATACTGCCCTGCCAGCGGAATAGAATTCCTTTCAACCATAAAAGAAGCCATATTTTAGCAGAGACAAATAGAATATCATATAAACAAGAGATCCCAGAGGGATCTCGGCGCCCACCATTGTACCATATTCAGTTCTTTTTCAGTTCAATCTTTTCTCTTCTTTTTCTCTAATCTGGGTTTGATCGAGTCATGTTAACAGTAAATGCTACTTGAGGTAACTTTTGATCTTAACTTAATACTGCTGTGCATAAAAGACAACATTCAAAGTGAGTTTGTCATTTCACATATTTATTAGTACAGTACTTAATGTGAAAGAAATAGAATCGATCATTGCAATATGAGAAAGATCTGTTTAGTTCTTCCTTAAGCCATTTCGTTTTTATCAATGAGGGATCAAGGGGAACCTACATAACAAATTTGAGAAAGATCCCTAGAGTTATTCCTGAGAATATTCTCAAGAAGTGCCAAAGGAATCTTTCTCAAATTTTATATGTAGGTTCCCCTTGGTCCTTAGCTGTGCAGGGCAACGTTTGAGACTGATCGGATAAACAACATGGCCGACAGGCAGCCGTCTTGGATTTTGATAGTGAAAGTTTGTTATTGCTATTTCTCTGTAAGTATTAAAGGGATCTTTCCCAAATGGTTTATGTAGGATCCCCTTGGTTCCTAGCTGTGCAGGGCAACTTTTGAGAGTGATCGGATAAACAACATGGCCGACAGGCAGCCATCTTGGATATTGATAGTGAAAGTTTGTTATCGCTATTTCTCTGTAAGTATTAAAGGGATCTTTCTCAAATGGTATATGTAGGATCCCCTTGGTTCCTAGCTGTGCAGGGCAACTTTTGAGACTGATCGGATAAACATTTTTTTTTTATGTAGGTTCCCCTTGGTATGAAGTTATGCATATTTTCTTATGAGACTGATTGAATAAACAAATCTTTGATTTTGACAGTTAAGGTTTGTTAGTGCTATTTCCCAGGAAGTACTCGAAGGTTATTTCTCAAATTCTATATGCAGGTTCCCCACTATCCTTTATTGTTCATGTTTTTTTTAAAACTGATCAGTTAAACAAAATGGCCTACCGACAGCCATCTTCGATTTTTGACATTGAAGGTTTGTTAGTACTATTTCTCAGAAATAACTAGAGGGATCTTTCTCAAATTTAATATGTAGGTTCCCCTTGATCCCTCGTTGTGCATGTTATATTTTGAGACTGATCATAAAAACAACAAGAGTACCGCGGGGCAGAACAAAATACGCCCGTCGAATGCCATATAGTGTTATATACTTTCTTACATTGAAATAAGATCTGCATCATTCTAAGAGTGGTTAGCTGACATGCTATAAAAGATGTTGGAGAAAATCTTCGGACAAAAAATAAAATACTGAAATGAACAAAAGGCAATCAATTTTGCAAAAATCGTCGAATCAAAATTCTTTTAAGGGAAACACAACTTCATATCATGATTATAATGTATACCAATTTTAAAGCGATCGGTCAAAAAATGTAGGAGGATATCTCTGGACAAAGTCAAATACTGAAATGAACAAAGGGCAATAACTTTTGGAAAAATTGTCAATCAAAATTCTTTTAAGGGAAACACAACTTCATATCATGATTATAATGTATACTAAGTTTCAAAGAGATCAGTCGAAAAATGTAGGAAGAGATCTCCTGACAAAATTCAAATACTGAAATGAACAAAGGGCAATAACTTTTGGAAAAATTGTCGAATCAAAATTCTTTTAAGGGAAACACAACTTCATATCATGATTATAATGTATACTAAGTTTCAAAGAGATCAGTCGAAAAATGTAGGAAGAGATCTCCTGACAAAATTCAAATACTGAAATGAACAAAGGGCAATAACTTTTGAAAAAAATTGTCGAATCAAAATTCTTTTAAGGGAGACACAACTTCATATTATGATTTTAATGTAAACCAAGTTTCAAATAGATCGGTCGAAAAATGTAGGAGGAGATTGCCGGACAAACAAAGTTTATGCCGGCCGGCCGGACAAACAAAGTTTACGCCGGCCGGACAACGCCATACCACAATACTACCGTCAAATTTGACAGTTGTATAAAACTGGCTAAAGGAAGAACTAAACAGATCTTTCTCATATTGCAATGATCAATTCTATTTCTTTCACATTAAGTACTGTACTAGTAAGTATGTGAAATGACAAACTCACTTTGAAGGTTGGCTTTCATACACATCAGTATTAAGTTTAGATCAAAAGTTACCTCAAGGTGCATTTACTGTTAACATGACTCGGTCAAACAGATAAGAGGAAAAAGAGAAAAGATCGCACTGACAAAGAACTAAAGAAGATGGTACAATGGTGGGCGCCAAGATCCCTCTGGGATCTCTTATTGATAATGATAGGGTGGGGAGCTCAACTAATTGCAAGTTATCACCAAAGGATTCCGATATCTGTGATTTAGTTGTGTCCAGTTACTAGCTTAGAAATATTCCCAATTGTGTTTTAACTCAATGATTCAGTTTAACATAGTACTAAGAGGGATGAGTTTCTTGTCTACCATAAAAATACTTACAAGTTTTAATGGTGAACCCCATGCATCATGCCATCTTCAATGCATGCATGGTGTAATGAAATGTGTGAAGAAAATGGTGCGATTACATTGTGATATCGTCACACTATAAAACATAGATCCTTTTATGAAGTGGTGATGATTTGAGAAGAAAGATGTGAATCAACTGTCAACGTAGGTAGGTAAAGATAAACAAGGCAAAGTATTGCAAGGCAATCCAGTCCCCCACCGGTAATGATTTCTATATTTAACAAACTGTACACTTTTGTCAGGATGTACCTTAACTGTTCAACGCATAGGTCACAGTGAGGTCGTAGTAACCTACTTCTTGCACTCGCCATCCCAAGATGTCCTTGTACATTAAATCTGGTTACTACAAGTGAAATAGTATAGAAGATATTCCCTGGACAAATGTTTTCAAAGGTTAAGTCATAGGTCAAAGTGAGGTTATAGAGACATATTTTTTGCACTCTGCACTCCTCCATCCCAAGATGCCCTTGTACACCAAATCTGGTTACTTCAGGTGAAATAGTATAGAAGATATGCACCGGACAAACTTTTTCAAAAGTAAAGGTCAAAGGTCAAGTCATATGTCAGTGACCTTATTCTTACGCTCTGCACTCCGCCATCCCAAGATGTCCTTGTACACTAAATCTGGTTACTACAAGTGAAATAGTAAAGAAGATATTCCCTGGACAAACGTTTTCAAAGGTTAAGGTCAAAGGTCAAGTCATAGGTCAAAGTGAGGTCATAAGAGACCTAATTCTTGCACTCTGCACTCAATCATCCCAAGATGTCCTCGTGCACCAAATCTGGTCACTCCAGGTGAAATAGTATAGACGATATGCCCCGGACAAACTTCTTGGACGGAAGGATGGACGAACAGAAGGACAGATTGCAAACTATAGTCCTCCTGGGATTCAGTGGGGGACTAATTAATTTTCTCACTAGAAAAAATGGGATAGCACAAGAAGTGTGGGAGAGATGTATGTCTCTGCAATTTAGCAGGGTAATAATACAGAACATGACTTATTTTTTTTAGAGTAAAACATTTATTTCAACATAAAACCATAAAGCAACAAAGACATGTCATAAAATGTATAAATATTGTTATTAGAACTGTAGATAGCCCATTGTAAGCCCATCCTGTGTTACTTGAGATATTTTCCTTGGTGCTAACACGATCCCTAAACTTTTGAAGTGTGATTTTACATGTATATAATGTCACCAACTTTAAAAAAGTTTAGGTTAGAAAAAAGTGTGTTAGAACCAGCCAAGTCTTTTTCAAAGGGAAATTTGCCAAAAGAAATTTCATTTAAGATAAAGAATATGCATTTATTTTTTCCAAACATTTCACAAACAAATTGTATTTTATCAAAAGCTGAAATTTAAACTATCAAACCCAGTGCCAGTTTCCTGTGTTTTCTGAAGATGTGTACAAGTGTAAAAAATATTTTGGTGAAAATAGATGAAGATGGCACATAAATAGACACTGTGGATGGCCTTAACAAATCGATCATCAGATTTTCAACTTATGTTTTTGTATTATTCATGTTTGAAGAACAGAACTGTCTCTAATAATTAACGAATGATGCGAATCACAAGTCCTTTGGAGGTTGGTGACCCCGCCACACTCTATCAGAATAACTACCCCTTACTAAAACCCTTTTGTGTACCCTATTTAGTTATTAGAAGTCTCAGAGGCTGTAAAACAAGCAGTGTCCACACTTGATACCTTCACAGTAAAATGAACTACCAACCCCGACACTAGACATACACACACAGCTATAGAAGGAATTGCACATCCCAATGCAGTCGTTGTCAACATTTTCAACATTTCGTTTCATTCTATTACATGATCAGTAGTACCTTTGTACAGATATACACGTGTGTTCAGCTCTCATAATTAAAGCTGGGAAGACACTCTTGGCTATTCAAGTTTTACACAAAAATAATGCTAGCTTAATATTCTCATTCGTTTATTACTTTATTATGAAACCTTAGAGTTCAGCACAACTAACAGATATACCAAGTCTTAACGATGTTCCGCCTGAAAATATACAACTTAACCCTCCACAACATAATTTACAGTCTTGTATGTATCTGCTGTAGAAAGATTCAATAAATTCAGCCGGTGAAGTGTTTATCCATGATATTGCCAAGACTTGCAAGGAAAGACACTAAATCCATAACGTGGTCAATCTGATCTGAGGGTTTCCAGAAGCTGAACGATAACAACATGTTCCTGTTGTCTTAACACATTCTCAACTTTTACTCTCCAGCGAGTGCAGTGCTTCTGTAGTTATTCACAACTTGTACACTCTAACGAGTGCCATGTTTTCTGTAGTCATTCAGAGCTTGTATTCCCCACTGAGAGCGTCTAGTTTCTGTTGGAGAATCTGTGCCCCTTTAAATGTCATTTTCTTCAGTGCTTTTTTTATGCCGGTCAGTTGTGTTATCACTCTGTCCGTAATGTCCGGATGGTCAAGCTCCAACAGACTGCAAAAGAAATGGTGGTCAAACTTAACATTAGTGACAAATAATTGAATGAAAAAGGAATCTGATTGTTTTATAAACGTGACTATATATGATTATCACAACAATGAATCTTTGAAATATTGCTGAAGGCAATTGAACACATTTTTTGTCACCTATACTTTGATAACAAAAAATCTCCCAAATTGGCCTCTTACAACAATTTCATAACTGCCATTTGTAATCAAATAGGTGTTGATAACCCAAAATCTCCCTCAATGCCTAGAATGATTCCTGTTATCATTTAAAGCTGAAAGAAGTAGTCCAGCGTTCAGATCATCTCGACACCAAATAGGGATTTGAAATAATAAGAATTGTAAAATGGTTCTGCACCCAAATTTCACACATTCTTATAATAATACCATTTATTTATAACTCACTTTTAATTAGAACTTATCTCTCATAAAACCCCTGAAATAAATGGTAACAAAACTTTATACTTACAATATAAGCATGAAGCATCCCCTGTTACATGCAGCCCAGGACTTGAGAGACCCTTCCGGCAGGGTTTCTAGGAGCACTTGGGAGAATAGCACTGTAAGAAGACCACATTTCTTATGTCAATTTCTTCTGTCCTCTACTCTGGAGAAGATATCTCACTGACAGTAATAAGTCTATTAGATATCAAATGTTTTAGCCTGTGTTTTCCTGCATACACATTTTTCTCATCTAACCAGATAAAAGATGAATGGTAAAATACCTAAGCTGAATATGGTAATGGTGTAAGAGACAAAACATTTCATCAGTGTGTTTTTAAGGTAGCAGAGAATAATTGTAGGATCCAGGTTTTGGCTTTTTAACATTATGAGAGACAAGTTTTCTATATTTGCACATTCTATATATCAGAGGTAATCCTATAGCTAGTGCCCAACTCTACCATCATGTCATCCCCCCCCCCCCTTTTTTTTTTTTTAAATTATTTATATATATACAAATCCATGCACTTAAAAGAGTATTGAGTACATATTTCTCAACGCTACAAAACCATTTCGATTCTCTCTCGAGTTACAAAAACACTTTTGAGGACTCTTGTAACTACTACACTCAAGCTTTCACAGTGTTACAAGGCCTTACAGCAAGCTTTTGGGAAGATTGATAAACCCACAGTAAGACTTATGATGTCAACGTACGACTTGGTAACATACAGTTAAGACTTCTGACCTCAAAGAAAGATTGGTTACCAAACAGTAAGATTAGTGATCTCAAGGTAAGTCCTGTGATTTCAAGATCAGTCGTGTTACCTTACAGCAAAACTTGTGGCCTCAGGGTAAGTCTTGTGACCTCAAAGTGAGACTTGTTATTATATTGACATCAAGATCAGTCTTATGACCAAAAGGTGAGGCTTGTTACCTTACGGTAAGACTTGTGACCTAGGGTAAGTCTTGTGACCTGACAATGAGGCTTGTTACCTTACAGCAAGACTTGTGACCTAGGGTAAGTCTTGTGACCTCACAATGAGGCTTGTTACATTACAGCAAGACTTGTGACCTAGGGAAAGTCTTGTGACCTCACAGTGAGGCTTGTTACCTTACAGCAAGACTTGTGACATAGGGTAAGTCTTGTGACCTCACAATGAGGCTTGTTACATTACAGCAAGACTTGTGACATAGGGTAAGTATCGTGACCTCAAGTGAGATTTTATACCTTACAGTAAGACTTGTGACCTCTGGGTACGTCTTTTGACCTCACAGTGAGGCTTGTTACCTTACAGTAGGACTTGTGACCTCTGGTTAAGTCTTTTGACCTCACAGTGAGGCTTGTAACCTTACAGCAAGACTTGTGACCTAGGGTAAGTCTTGTGACCTCACAGTGAGGCTTGTTACCTAACAGCAAGGCTTGTGACCTAGGGAAAGTGTTGTGACCTCACAGTGAGGCTTGTTACCTTACAGCAAGACTTGTGACCTAGGGTAAGTCCTGTAACCTCACAGTGAGGCTTGTTACCTTACAGCAAGACTTGTGACCTAGGGTAAGTCTTGTGACCACAAGTGACATTTGTTACCTTACTGTATATTGTGATCTCAAGGTAGGTCTTGCGACCTGAAATGAAGACGTTTAACCTCAAAGTGACACTTGTCACCATATGGTAGGACTTGTGACCTCACAATTAGACACGACCTCAGAGGTATGTACTTGGAGTTTGCATCACAGAGCCACAGTGCTGACAACAGCTACAGGTTGTACACAACTGACCTGTGTGTCCTGCCTGGATACGATCACGGTCATTTTGTATCAGCCTTTTCAGCGTCATGTGACCTGCAGAATGCTCCACAATATGCATGTTGTCCAAGCTTCCAGCCACAAATGGCTCAGCTGCAATCTTGGCCATTGCCTTCATGGCTGCAGATGGATCACCTGAAATTACAAAATTACATAAAAATTTCAGAGAAATCAAACATATCACAAAAATACATCTGTTCAGTGTCAAACAGAATTCTTAAATTTTGGAAGTTCCCATACATGAATATAACAGGATGTGAAAAAAACCTGCCAGACTTTTACTTTGATGTGTACTGACATTATAAAAATGAATATACGCTGTTATGTGAAACAATTAAAATAGAAGAAATAGAATTTGTATAATCAAAATTTGGATATTAACAAATATAAGGAAACATAAGGGACTACCTACCAACAGCATGGGTGAGAATAGCCAGGAGGAGGAGCATGGAAGCGTTGTCTAGGACCATTTGGCGTGTGTTTTCCACAATGTACGCGAGCAGTTGGGGCGACACAAACTCCAACAACTCTTTGTGTCGTACTGCCTTTTCTTTCTTACTGTAAAAGAACAAGAAAACACATCACATTGGTGCTGAGCAAGACCTTCTGTTTTATTACTGTCATATCAATAATGATAATATACAACATTTGTATAGCCCCTAGTAAATTTGCCAAATTCCTTCAACTTGTTCCCCCCTGAAATTTCATAATGAACTATTCCAACCTTTGAATTGGAAGAGTTAAAATGTGTCTTCAAGGGTGAATGAGTTAAAGGCACTTTACTTTTCTTTGCTTTAAATTATTTTATTGATCGATATTAAAATACAGACAGTTGTCTTGAAGCCTCTTTAATTTTTTTATCAGAAATTTTAAATGAGATGTGACTTTTACATAGGGGTATCACGATAATCCTACCTGTGTGGGTTCTTGTCGCCCTCAAGGAGCACGCGTACAATGTCTGGATGGAAGTGATGGGGGTCCCTGGGGCTCAGTAGGTACAGTAATACCTTCCTACCCTGTTGGTCTGTGGCCACTTCATTCAGGGACTTCAGCATTTCCTGATGGATTACAAAAAATGGTTTATTTTTTTACTCTAGATTATTGATCGGGATTATATAAACAGGAAATAGAAGGACATACGGTACAATGATTAAAGTAATTCCGCACCAGCAGTTCTACTCAAACTGTATTGGTCCTTATTAACTCGCCTAAAATTTTCATAAATGTTGTCAAATTTAATTTTAATTTACATGAAATATCAGGACTGTGTCTTTAGAAAGAGATAGAAACTTCAATTAATTTCATACAAAACGTAAGATTAAAATTTCCCGTAGGGTAGACCCCTTTACTTGAAGAAAAAGGTTCACACAAAAAATAAAACTTTAATTTCTGGTAGTGTAGACCCCTTACCTCGAGAATGGCCTTCTGTACTATCTTGGTATCGTCCACCACATCAATCATGGCTAACATCACCATGTGGCCATGCTCCTCCTTACAAATCTTCACCACGTGTGTCTTGAAGCTCTTTATTATCACCTTGCGGTCCTGTAACATTAAGGAACAAGGTTGTACAGCCTTTATTACATGCATGTCAGACATGAAAATATTGAAAAGATGCGCACCACTTCATATTTGTAAGATCAACTTATTAACATTGCCAGAAACACAACTTTTAGAAATCTGCTAACAGCAAAACCCATTCACAAAGAACATAAAGTAACAATATTGCAAAATCTACCTTTTTTTAACCTCTTGGTTTTTGTTTATATTTTTTTGTTGTTATCTCAGGGTTTCAGCCGAAACATGTAATGTAGTAATAGTTACTGTAGAATTAAGGAGGAGACATCATCAAAGTGTGTTCATATATTCGTGTTTTGTCGAACAGCGGCAGATGCCAGGTATTATCTGTGGACTTGCTGGTACATGTAGTAGCCAGATACATAACGAAGAGACATATGTATACCAACCTTGGCTGTACCGTACCAGAAGCAGTACATCGCCACTCTGGACCCGTCACGTGTGTGCATCATGTGAATTACGCAGTCTCTCAGGGACTCCACCATGTCCTGTAATAGACAATACAGTAATGTTTTATACATGTAGATGTTAAATACTGATATAACTGAAAGCAGTACAATATAAATGTTAAGCAGGGTCTTTCTATACATTTGGGGTCAATATTAAGTTTGACTACCATTAGTTTTTCTCTCAATTTCAAGAAAAAGAAAAGAAAATATTTGTGAAATGATCTTTACTTCCTAAAGTTATTCATCAAACATACCTTTCATCAGTCAAACAACGGATTAAAGATGACTTTGTAAAATTTTCTCAATAAAAGACAAAAGTCTGCACATTTCTTATACAATTCTTTTAAGCACTGTAGGTATGACAACATTTCCAAAAATAAACAATAAATAAATATGTATTTGTACACTTCATATACCACTGGATACTGTTTTAAACTGCTTAATATTTACAAATTCAATACAACCACTATAGTCAAAATTTACTTACTGTCCTCATCTTGTCTGATGCGTAGACGAAGAACTCAAAGAAGACTCTGTGGACCATTGTGTGTTTCAGCACCTCCCTAGGTAAATGAGCAAGAACAAAATAGGTCAATTGTCTCATAGGGCATGTAGTTATTTCACAGCCTTAGAAAATAATGAAGAATTGTATCTGTGTAAAATTGTACGATATGATACTAAAACTTAAAGTTGGTTGGCTGTAAAGGGTTTAACAGCCTATCAACAGCAAAGGTCATTTTAGGGACGTTAAAACTAACAGAATCATCCCTGAATTTGGAGAATTGGTTTTGCAATCACTGTAGAAAGTAAGACAAAGGCTGTGTTACGACCAAGAATATCACATTGAAGTACAAGAGCTACTTGAGTTTGTATGGTTTTTTTTATTGTGAAACGTTCCATTTATCATTTTAAAATGTTTATAGCGAAGGGTATAAAGAGGTAATGAAGACGTGAAATGGTCTGTTAGAGAGTTACTTACTTGTCTATGAGAGGGAGAAGGGCCTCCTTCATATTACTAAGTATCATGTCACGCTTGTCTGGCTGTACAAGTAACATCTGGTCCAGTGACTTCACATCAGGAGTCTGAAATAACAAATTACGTCATTTTTTTTTTATATTACCACTTTTAAAAGTTAAAGTTTCCGATAAATAATCTCCAGCAAACTTGTGTTCATTTTTATGGTGAATCAGTGAAATACCACTGTTATGTGGTAATATGATTTCTGTATCGATTTTATTTAACTTAGTAATTGACATGTATAATTATTAAAGATAAAATCGCAAAATCACCACAATTACAAAACATATGTAAATATCACACAACAATTTGAGATGACTGAATTTTACCTTGAAGAGCATAAAGCTGGGTCCATAAAACTCCTCTAGTAGTGATAACCTTTGTGAAGCGATGGCATATTCGTTGTAGGCGAACTCCACGACATCGGACGCTTCCTATAGAGAGTAAGAAATTCTGACATTTACAACAGGACATAGGAAACAAACAGAAACTCTAAATTATAACAATAGTCCTTTTGACTGAAAGTTTCCTCTGGTATATTAAAGATGAAATTTCCCAGACGATTTCCAAAGATTGTTTTCACCGAAAAAGTTGAAAAATGTCATCGTTACACGTCTTTTTCAACACATATAAACAATGTTTGATATAAATTTTAAATGCACTTGTATATTTGTTTAATGTGTAGAAAAATCACTGAATTCAATTCCAAATATTTTATTGACAATACAATAGAGTAACAGATGAACAAAAAAGTAAGAAAATCAAACAATACATGTACATGTATTATCAAAAGGGTGAGCCTTCATCAGTCTTTTCCTTAGATAACTGGTTGTATATGGATGTTGTTATTATATTAAGTATAAATAATAGACAAATCTTTGATTTTTAAAAAACCTCTAAAGCACTAATTTTGTTTTCTTATACACAATGTACTTACTTTGTGGCGCACTAGTTTCCTCACACTGCCTTTGAAGCTTTTTATTACTGCGTTTCTATGTGTCTTTGTCCTACAAGATTCAAACAAGAAAATATTACCTCCTTCAAATCTATTTATCAGCTAACATTCATATGAAAAATTACAGCGTAATACATTACGTTTCAAAACTATTAGATCAGTAGGTCTGGCCTAACTGCTCTTTTAATGATATATCAGATTTTAAATGATATCAAGTTTTCATGGTGTTATGTATCTTTTTCATGGTGTTTTGTATCTTTAAGGCTGATATTACTTACCCATATACCAAAAACTTCTTCACAATAAATTTGGCATACTTTGACTTGGCCATCATGCACATCTGATCTGTAAAACAGAAAAGTGGATACTAAAATATCATCTTCATTGTAAAAATCAGTAGCAGAGACAGGAGAGGATGTTTGCTTTACATATCAGTAACAAACATGTCAAGATATGTTGTTCTTGTCCATCTCTCCTGAAGTATTGACGTCCGATACTACTGACCAGACAAATATTTTTTTTAAGGAATCCATCCCGTTGTCGAATTATTATCAGCTCACGTGATATGGAGAGAACTCTCTATATTTTTCTTCACATTAATTAGTTGCAAATACATATATAAAATGTAAAACTTGAAAACTGCTGTTCAACTTTTGAGCAAGCTTAGCAGCCAGTGTTTAATGAGTCAATTTTTATCTAAAACTTCACCGCTACGTTGTTTAAAATTGGCATCACATTGGAGCAGCGTCTAAGACTGAACAGGGGACATTTAAACAGCAGTTTGGAGATGGCTACACAAAAAGGACTATATATGCTTCAACAAACAACAGGCTCCAAACAAAATCATACTAATTCACCCCTGAGGACACATTTGAACTTTTCCAATTCAAAGGTAAGAATAGTTCATTATGAAATTGCAGGGGTGAATGAGTTGAATATATATATATATATACCTTTTAGTTCACTGAAGACTTCCTCTTTCTTGTCTGGAGTACCATACTGTACTAAACACTGAAGCACACGTGCTGTGTCGTGGGCGTAGGCAAGCTGTAAACAGAATGTTTTTACATAGTCAATGATCAATTCTGCTACAAGGAATATCTCCTTACTAATGTTAGTCAACTTTATAATGGAAACATCTAGAATGACATTTATGCTGTCAAAAAAACCCATCATTATTTCTTTTCATAGAACTTGATTGCTAACAAATCGGCTGCAGAAATTAAGTATACATGCATGGTAAATTACTTATTTACCAATTAACTGGTACATGAAAGTCCTCATTGAAATTAACACAGACAAGAAATCAAATCCCATATCTAGGTGACCAAATTTATCTACCTATGTTTTCAATCCAAATACAATATCTCTTGTAAACTTCAAGCCCTCATTACAGAGGTTCTAAAAAGCAAAGCGTACAGTATATACTGCTGTGAAAGTTTTCTTGTATACAGTAACCCAAATAACTACTTCAATGTTATTCATTACACCGCTCAGTGTCGGTCACTTAATTTCCATCCGAGATGGTCATTATAGAGTCAAAGTTGGTCATCAGTACACTGTCAGTGTCGGTCACTTAATTGTAAGTTTTGGATGATTAAAGGTCAGTGTTGGTCAGTTTACCATCGGTTGTGACCATTACAAGGTCAAAGTTGGTTGTTATTACACTGTCAATGTTATTGTTGGTCACTCACCTCTTTCATGTTGCCCTTGACCATACTCATAAGCTCTGTACACAACTCAGCCCTCCTCTTCTCCTTCACATCATGTCTATACACGAAAAAAAAATAACCCAATCATTAATAAATTGTGCTTGATGTTACATATGAAACTAAACTGTGATCGAATTCATGAAAGATATATTTTTTTCCAGCAGTACCTCTATAAATTTCGTTAAGTTTAAAAAGACACTTTATGACAACATTTTGTTTCATGTCAAATTGAGTGAAATATTTAAGTGTCAATCCATCATACACCTCCATTTTAAATGTACAAACAGGTGAACCATTGTGCTTAAATAGTGTCATGTGATTAGCTACAAATATTTCCAACTCTCAACTTGTTTTTCTGACACCACTTGCTGAAAACCATTGTTCCATTAACTTGTTTTTCTGACACCACTTGCTGAAAACCATTGTTCCATTAACTTGTTTTTCTGACACCACTTGCTGAAAACCATTGTTCCATTAACTTGTTTTTCTGACACCACTTGCTGAAAACCATTGTTCCATTAACTTGTTTTTCTGACACCACTTGCTGAAAACCATTGTTCCATTAACTTGTTTTTCTGACACCACTTGCTGAAAACCATTGTTCCATTAACTTGTTTTTCTGACACCACTTGCTGAAAACCATTGTTCCATTAACTTGTTTTTCTGACACCACTTGCTGAAAACCATTGTTCCATTAACTTGTTTTTCTGACACCACTTGCTGAAAACCATTGTTCCATTAACTTGTTTTTCTGACACCACTTGCTGAAAACCATTGTTCCATTAACTTGTTTTAGTTGTTTGTTGTTTAATGGTATGTATTGGTAACTCACCTTCTCAGTTCATCCCAGATTTGTTTAGACCGCTGAATCATGCTGAAATTGTTTTTTAACATTTTCCTCACTTTCCTTCTGTCCTTAAATGGCAGCTCCTTCAATTTGGTTTTCTTGGATTCTGGTGAAGAAATAATAGGAAGTAATTATACAAGATTCAGGTGTTTAAAGTTTGCTTTCATTTGTTTCATACATTTTCATATGGAAACGCTGGCATCATAATATTAAAATCAACATTTTTGAGAAGTCTATCTATCCAAATTACATAGCACACCTGTTATTCAGCATATTTTTATCTCTGAAAGTAAACTATTTTATTTGTGCATTGACTTTAATACCATAAAACTTGATGAGTTCGGGCTTTTTTAATATTGCAATACTGCAATGATACTCCCAACATCGTAGCCCCATTTTAAAATCATACAAAATAAATATCTAACTTCTCGACATTATTGACACTTACCATCTGTTTCTACTGCCTGTGATTCTTCCAGCCTCCTCTTCCCAGAACTGAGACCAGACCGGCTGTCATTCAGGTTTTTCTTTACTTTTAGGCCTTTAAGCTTGCCTGCTGCAGTGCTCGCAACTCTGGAAATCTTCACCTTTTATAAAATAAATATTTCACTTTAAAAAATCTTTCCCTGTTGACATTTCAATCAATTTGAAGATTTAATAAATCAATATAGTTGCCATGGTAAGACGTGACGTGTTGAAGATTGAATAAATTAGTATGATAATTTCTATGGTATACGTTAGACGTGTAAAGTACGGAGAAACTCTTTAGATTTTTTTACTTACCCGTATTGATTTCTTCCGCTCCATTGGATGTAAGGCAGCTGGAGGTGGCATCAGTTTACCGGAGTCTCCCTCGCTGCGATTTGAGTGAGTGCTGGTGTCTGTTCCGCCCTCGGCTGATTCCCTCACCTCCTCCTCTATGGTCGGGTACCGCTGTACTCCTTTACTAGCCATTCTGTGGAAAGATTTCTCGGCCCCATCAGGCTGTCCTCTTGCGCGTTGCACAGCTCTTTCCATCGTCACATCAGGTCGTCCCATAGGTTTTTGCATGCGTGAGAATGTGGTCTGCATGGACATATCTGACACTGGATTGATAGCACTGATCATACTGAGTGAATCTGGAGTATCGGTCTGGTCTAGTGTGGAAAGGTCTGTGTCGCTGTACATTGTGTCTTTCTTCGAGTGGTATTTCTGTGTGGCCTTTGCCAACTGATGCTGGTTCCTGTACAACTTGCGTTTCTTTGGCGGGGAAGCCAATGTGCCAAATGATGAGTTGAGGGAGTCATTGTCACTGTTTGGGGGTGCTGACAGCTTAGGTGGATCCTCCTGCAGTATGCTGTTTCCTTCTGGATTGCCACGAGTGGAACGATTGTAACTAGTCATTTTTCTTCTTTTTGTTTTGGGAGCATGGGCCTCTTCGAAAGAAGATTCATCAATACCTAGTCGCATCTGAGAATAGAACGAATTGATATCATCAATGGTGTTGGTCCTTCGTTTGTTACAAAGGTAAGTTCACAGAAATGATTTATACACATTTGAAAATGACCTAGTACCAGATTAATAGTGTCCTTGTGAAGGAAGAAAGCTGGTAGTTTTAAGTTAGTCATTATATTTATATCTCATTCATTTTCTTTACTTATATTTCCTGTGGACCCTTTTCTTTTTAAATATATAAATAAACATTTTACACACTAACATAACATACAACGTTAAGGAGAAGACTTATATAAGCTAAGCCTGTTGTCAAACCGATAATGGTAAGGAGAAGACTTATATAAGCTAAGCCTGTTGTCAAATCTATTTGTTCAATTGTGAATTGTTTTTTGTCCAATAAAATTTGTTGAAAAAAACCCATATAATTCCAAAGCTTTAAAACTAATTCATAAATGATTTTAGTACTGATAATGTTAACCTCTGGACATTTTCTATATACTAACATAACAATTATCAGAACAATGTCATCTTACAATTTAAACTGAGACAGATACATATAATTGTAGATTTATATTTTAAAAGACAATAATTATATATTACATTGCCATTTGATAAAACAACTTGAACGGTTAGTATTATTTCCTTACGTATATTATATTAAGTTTCATGGAATAAACAATGCAGTATTATCAATTGCTTTACAATTTCCATACCATAATATAAGAGATCAATAAATACACATATTATATAGTACAGCTTTAATTTTATAACAAAACAGTTTCATACTGTACATATTCTAGCATTAAAATTTTAAACCTTTGGCTTCAATGTCCTTATCCAAACATAAACCAATATACATATGTACCAGTAACCTTAAGTAGAACTCTCAGTTTTCCTTGATTAGTAAAAGTATCATAGATATCTTACCCATTCAAAACGATTTCAAAATTAAGTTGTAGTGTTCACTTCACTTTGTCAGGATGAAATATTCAATTTGGTGAGATACTCCCTGGGTATATATTGAAGTAGGACTGGACGACTGAATAGATTTCAGAATGTCATTTGTCAGGACTGATGTTACATGACAAGTCTATAATTACAAACCACACAGAAAGGAAAACTCAACCAGCTCTTTTGTATTAGCCGTCAGGCATGTTGACATAGTAATTGGGCTATAACAACAAATCCATCCTACCTGTTGGGGGTAGGACTGACTGACACTTATCTGCCTCGGGCAATAACATGATGCAATAAAAACACTACTAATTGGTCATACTATTGTCACAACTAATATAAAGTTGTACTCAAATTCAGTGAAGCATGACTGAATGTTTTGATGTCACAGGTGTGACAGGTAAATGTTTGGTACAATATATAACATGATGCATAGGTACTGGACACTACTGGTGGTAATATGGCCTGGTCAGCTAGTGTATGTCTGTCATACAGCCATGAAGCTCAGGTACTGTTACAAGCCCTGGTTATCACATGTACAGAAGATCTTATCTTTGAGAATGTTCCTAGCTTTAATATCCTGAATTGTCATACTCAGCTTTCATCTAATACAAAATGGTTCATATTTTTTTTTATTTATTCTTATTTCCTAAAAGTTTTATTCCGAAAGTTCCCTTCCTATTCAGTGTATTTTCTTCCTAAAATGAGACAAAAATGCCAACTGAAACAAACCCGGAAATCATAAAATTAATGTCAACTTATCTAAGTATTTTTTTGATAGAATCAAATGTTGCCTTTTGAGTTTGTCTTCAATTTTAGTCACATTAATGTGACTTTCAAATTCTGTTTTTATTAGTCCTAGGTATAGGTAGTACTGTAGGTATCATTAACTACAGTCAAAGGAATATAAGTCTGAAGCATATAAATATAACTGGATTAATGTGAGTAAGATTTCCTCCCCATGAGTCCTGAGATTCTTTTACAAAAAAAATATGATTTCCATTACTAAGACATATAATGAGTTCTAAAAATAAGCATCAATCCAGACACCAAATACAGGTTTCCTCAAAGTCACTTATAGACCAACCACAGCGAGACTTCCGCCCAGTCCTTGGTTTATCTTAATATTCAGAGACACATGTTCCATGTAGATATTCGATCAGAAAGGCTGTGTCAGTTCCAAAAGTCTACCACATCACAAACCCTGGATGTATTTATGCATGCGACAAAAAAAGGATTGTTTTCATAATCACAGGAAAGAGAATAGTGTTTCCACCAGTGATTGAACCCTTGATCCTCCCACTTCCTAGTTTAAAGCTCTACCACTGAGATAAAGGGAAATTCCTCTAGCGCGAAGATAGAAAAGGACCATAATCCTATGTACAATTAAATCTGCCACGCAAAGAAACTGTTTGTCTGCAGAATGTCCAATTTAGGGAAACTTTTACCAACGCCGTGGTTAAAAGCTAGGTCCAATAATGTGCAGACATAAAATGCAATTGATGACTTATAAGAACTTAATATACATTTCCTAAATTAAATAATGCTAAGTTTTTAGTTCTCCAGGAGATATGTGATCTGTTTGCCTTTCTGATTACATTCACTGTCGTATAATATTCAAACGGGATTTAAAATTAAGTAATAAATAAAGGATTCAATTCTTTCAAACTCATTTAATCCTGATAAGATATGAGATAAAAGACAATAAGGCAGTATGTGGACATACTTACATTGGTGATGTTCTTCAGCGTAAGGTTCGTTTTGTACACATGTGTTTTCTTTTCGAAATCAACTCGTGCGTTAGTGTACCGTACGTGGGAATATACGATTACGACACATGCAAAGATGTCTTAACTGATATTTTCAGCCAAATTATTATTATAAGTGGAATTATACTTAAATAGAAACAACATTTACGTGATATAAAACTTATAAACATTTTACAACAAAAGAAAGGTTTTGTAAGGAATATCGCGACAATCGGCATTCGGCAAGCACCTGCTATTTCCGGTTGATGTGTGTTAGAAGAAAACTAATAATAATCTGATAATAAGGCGTCTGCTTAATTGATTCCCTTATGACAGTTCTAAATATTTATTTTTCCATAATTAATGCATGTTAATTTTTACATTTGTTTAAATATAATAGTTATATACTTGTTCGGTGTCGAATCAACAATGATCACAAAAGTGTTGAGGGCAATTATAATGGGCCCACCAGGGTCTGGCAAGGGTACAATCTCTACTCGCATTATCAAGGATTTTAACATGAAACATCTATCCAGCGGGGACTTACTGAGGGCCCAGATTGTAAACAAAACAAGTAAGGTCATATCTGATGATATAATTGAAGGGCTCTTACAGTGACATGCACCAAAGGTTGCAAAAATTCTGACTGTGTAAATTGAGATATATGTCCTATAAAAAACTAAAGGTACCATTTTTAATAGCAATACCCTTAGTTTTTTATATGACATATATCTCAATTTACAGTCAGAATTTAAAACACCTTTTCATGCACACAGTCAGCTGTTCAGTTGTCAAGGAGAGATGTATGTGTAATCGCAGGTGCTGGACACATGACCATATATGATGTGTATATTCTATAATATTATTACACAGTATATACATATCATTGTGTCCAGGACCCGTGTATGTTGTCGTCTTCCAATAATGTTCATACCACCGCTGGTGTATTATTGCATACGTGTCGGGTTGTTTCACCCTTATTCCTGTCCGCACAATTTGTTTTGCACTGTGCTATTTATCTGTTCATGGTTATACACAGGTGCTGGACACACTGATATGATGTGTAAACTATATAAAAGTAAAGTACTATTGTATATAAACACATCCTATCAGTATGTCCAGCACCTGTATGGTAATTTGGAGAAGGCAAATTCCACTCTTAAGGAATCCTAAGACGAAACCTACGAAAGTGCCCAGCGTCACTAAAACTGACAGCATACAAATTGTTGGTGAGATCCGTCCTTGAATACAGCTGTACGATATGGGACCCTTACCAGCAAAACAACATCCACTCGCTGGAAAAGGTACAACGCCGCGCTGCCCGATTTATAACATCAAACTATAGAAGGGACAGCAGTGTAACAGAAATAATGGGCACTCTAAAACTAGCACCACTAAAGGATCGCAGGCGAGACCATCGGCTTGCCCTCTTTTATAAGATCGTGAAGGGGCTAGTGGACATACCTGTAGATCACATATTGACTCCATCAAACACCGGTATCAGATAAAAAAATAGTGAAAATTACCGACATTTCCAGTGTAATACGGACATATTAAAAAAATCATTTTTTCCTCGAACAACAGCAGAGTGGAATAACCTACCAGAAGACCTTGTCAAAATGCAAGAACTTAAAAGCTTCAAGACAGCACTACAAACTGAAACAATATAAAATATAAGCGCACTCCTCCAACCCTGGAATTCATACTCAAATTTGAGGTCTTCCAGTAATATACAGATACAGATACAGAGGAGAGATAAACAGTGTATCCACCGACACTGTGCATGACATTGTGATTATTGTCTGGGAGAAAGGTTAGGCTATTCCATATTTTCACATAATTACATATCAGATGCAGATGCCTGTGGAGTGTGGACACATTTAAGATCCACAGTATTTTTTTGGTCAGTAAAAAAACTGCATGACATTAATTGTCTAAGGAGGGACACAGAGAGGGTGTTCGTCTGGAAGAGGAACAAAGTGTTATTTTCCCCTTTCATATTTACATATATCAAGGAAAGACTATCCAAAGATATTACCTTCTGAGTGTCTCAAAAAGAAGTGAAACAGAGTGCATATGATAACTCATTCACCCCTGATGACACATTTGAACCCTTCCAATTCAAAGGTTGGAATAGTTCATTATGAAACTTCAGGGGTGAATGAGTTAATTGCCCAAGAAAAGGACACTGTTGCAGAAAGTGTTATTTTCGGGAGAGACAAAGTGTATGATATTAATTGTTTAGGAAAGGGATGATATACAAATGTACATGGTATTTTCTGGTAGAGGGGCAGTCAAGCTGCATTATGTTGCCTTGTAGGGGACAGTGCAGAAGATGATCGGAGAGACTACTAGAAATGTATGTCCTATTTTCTGATTGACTAAAATGTATTACCTGTGTTACAGATGTTGTTATATCAGCTAAACTACATGTATTGTTTACAATATATTACAGGTGCTGGTATGTCCGCAAAGCAGTTCATTGACAAGGGTCAACTGGTACCAGACGATGTCATGGTCAAATTAATCATAAATGAATTGAACAAGTTTAAGGGTGAAAGCTGGATGTTGGATGGTAAGCATTCCACTGTTACATTTATATAGCAAAGCCTCGGGTCTCCTGCACAATATTTTATACCTTGGGTTTGAATTACCTTATCCATACCTCACATCAGGGATGGATTCTGTTTCTTACTTATTACCTAAAACTTGCAAAACAGCTGCTCTTCTAGTAATGTTGTAAACTGTCTGCACATTTCTCATTTGCATATGAAGCCTGGATGTCAATTGTTAATGACGTCAATGACACTGACTGACCCCAAAACCTCATAAAATGACGTCACAAACAATAACTTGACCCTGAAAGGTCACTATAATTCCCCCGCCAGTCAGTGCAGCACCGTCGAAAATGCGAATATCTTGGTCTAGTATGCAAGAAAGTCATGTATATATCGCACAGTGTGATAGCTATAATATTTATCCTAATATCCGTTTGATATTATCACAATCTATATATTTATTAATCACAAACTGGTCCAACATTTGGATTGCCAAATTGCACAACTTCCAGGTGGACATTCAGGCTGTTAAAGTCTTTATACATGACTTATGTGTCGGGTACAACCCACAGGTCATTACCTCCAAGATCAGGGTCAAGGGGGGCAAAGGTCATATATCATTGTTATTCTTCTTTGGGCCATACTTTCAGAGTGGCTCAATGTTTCATACAGCTTTATAACTGGGTGTATCATGAAGAATAAATCCGAGTGTCAATGTATCGGACTGGACACTGAATCCTAGTGTGTATTTGAAGGTATTATCAAGGTCCCTATATAAGTGTTTGAAGTTCAGATGCCAGTGTAGAATGAAGCTGCCAGATGCCATGTTAGACTGAGGTGTAGGATATTTTCTGTAATATCTAGGTACGGACAAGGTCAAATGAGACTTAATATTGAAAACAAATTTAGCTGTTTAAAAATAAACAAATGTCTAATATAACAGAATCACAATTAAAACCATATATATTTGTAAAGGATAGAGATATACCCTTGTCTTACATGTAGTACCCATATCTTGCAAAGGTACGATGGGAGATATGATATTGTGATATGATTGAGCTTACTACATTAAAGAAATCCTTGGTGTTGCTAGGATTTCCTCGGACAGTGCCCCAGGCCAAAGCCCTATACAATGAGAAGCCAGTGGATCTGGTAATCAACCTCAACGTGCCCTTTGAAGTGATCATTGACAGAATCAAGGGACGGTGGACACATGCACCTAGTGGAAGGATCTACCACACAGAGTTCAATCCTCCAAAGGTTGTGGTGAGTGAGTCAAATCCTCCGAAGTTTGTAGTAAGTTCAATCCTCCAAAGGTTGTGGTGAGTGAGTCAAATCCTCCCAAGTTTGTAGTGAGTTCAATCCTCCAAAGGTTGTTGTGAGTGAGTCAAATCCTCCGAAGTTTGTAGTAAGTTCAATCCTCCAAAGGTTGTGGTGAGTGAGTCAAATCCTCCCAAGTTTGTAGCGAGTTCAATCCTCCAAAGGTTGTGGTGAGTGAGTCAAATCCTCCAAAGTTTGTAGTGAGTTCAACCATGTCAAGTTCATTGTAGGATACTGTGAAATCATTAATTTCTGTGGGGTTTTGATTTTTTTTTGATTTCGTTGGTAATCTTCATCCAAGAATTCATAGGTCCACAAAGTAATTACAAATTTGATATTAAGCAATTGTTTGATTGGGTGCTCGTATTCCACAGATTCATGTACCCACCAAATGGTGTTTTGTTGGGAAACAATGAAATTTTGGGCCCAGGAAAACATCTGATATCACAATGTATCCTTTTAAAATTATATTTAGGTCAATCCTCCCAAGCTCAAGTTCTGTTTGTTTTAATACAGAAAGGAGTTATAACCTGTCACAAAATCGTATTATAGTGCCGAATTGTGAAATCTATTGTATATCCATCACAAGGGATCACCATTATACCATGTTTCAGGGGAAAGACGACGTGACAGGTGAGACGTTGACACAGCGTGACGATGATAAGGAGGAAACTGTCAAGAAGAGGCTACAGATATACCAGAACCAGACAGAGCCAGTTCTACAGTTTTATAGGTAAGCACCTGTAGACTGATGATTAGATCCGTTACCGATATTACATTGGTTCTATTCATGGAGATATTGTAGACTAATATTTACATTCTGTATGCTTGGAACCATTGACGAAAAGGACATTTAGTTTTGTATGGTGACCTCATCACATGTTCGATGAATGAGTTAGTAATCAGTTTATACCAATAGCTAGAAATGTTCTTGCTGAGAATAAAATCTGTGATGTGAATGCAGTCAGTAATCATCAAGCAATAGTGATGGAATTGTAGTGTTTTCTGCTCTTCACATTTTATCATTCAGAAATGCTCTCCAAAATTGTCATGTGTTGTTGAGAATTGGAAGGCATAGCGACTGACTGAAGATGGCTTTGTGAGCAGTTTTTTCTTTGACTGTTTTTAATGGAAAGTTTTGCAGGATAGATATGGAGATGAAAACATACCAAAAGAAATATCATTTTACATTTATCAACAATGTGGTACTGGTAGTTAAGTAAGGCTTGACAATTATTGGTGATTCATAATTCATTTTCTTTTTTATTTGAACACAAATTTGTTTCATACTCAGTCAGAATATACTTTGAACATGTATCTGTTTTCTCATGTCTTTTTAGGCAACATGAAATCCTGACGGAGTTCACCGGAAAATATTCCAATGAAATCTGGCCGAAGGTGTACGAGTTCTTGTCTACCAAGAGTGAACCATTGCAGTACACTCAGTATAGCTAAGGGACAATAAGGCAGCAATTTGTGATAATTTATTTGATTTTGATATGATTATACATCCAAATAATTGATATTGATTAGATAAGTATTTTTATTGTATTTTTTTTTTATTGATTTTGGGATTTAGTATTTATGATTGTCCAATATGCAGGTGATTCATATTTTACAACCTATACACTGTAACAAATTAATACAGATTTAAAAGTGTTCATTAATCAATCACTTCGCTTTTTGACAAATGTCAAACAGATATTTTCTTACGTTGGTGCCAAATTAACATACATTGTAGTCAATGACGGGTTGTTAACTTGTAATTAATTACATTTTTTTGTAGTTATTTACAGGTTATTGTTGTTGAAAACTGATCATCGCAGTTAATGACATGGTTGTTGTAATGACCGATAGGTTATGGTAGAATTTATTATAATTAATGACTGGGCGTTTTCATCAATGACAGGTTATTGACAGGCTGTTGTAGTTGATGTTATTTTATTGCAGTTAATGACAGGTTGTTGTAGTTAATTATGGGTTAATGTAGCTAAAGACAGATTACAGTAGTTAATGTAAGGTTATTGTAGTTTATGATAGTCTCTTGCAATCAAATTATTTAAAAAATAAAAAATATATATATTAATTAGAAACAACACAATCCAAATGTACATACAGGTATTTTTAGGTTATTGAAAGGTTTAAACCTGTCACCAGATGACTGGGATGTATTTTTTATACCAGTGTTGATTACATGTTATTTGTACTTTTGATTTTGCCTAATTGGTTCCCCATTTGTGAGGCATCATTGTTTTAATTATGTGATGGCATTACAGTTTAAATTCAGCAATATTGAGTGTTCAAAAAGGGTTTACCTGCTAGTCCAGTGTTATTTGTGAAGGAGGGATTGATGTACTATTTATTCAATACATCGGTGGTAACGGGTACATGCAGCTACAAGTGCTATGGTGCATATTTGCTTTATGGGAAGTTGGCTTACCATACTAGAATTCAAAACTAGTTATAGTTGCAAATCATTTGGTGAACTTTTTGATAAACTTTTTATTTTATGTAAATTTTCTTAAATTATTAAATTGCTACGCCACTGTTAGACCCGACCCAATACTTTTCTGTGATTTTGACAAACTGTACATCTTGAATTTTAGGGATATAGGGGGAAGTAATGCTTCCTGATTAATTATCTATTAGGTGTACTGACAGAAGGAAGTGCTGGGTCTAGAAGGGATCAAGTGACATCTAGATACGTGTATGTGTGTATTTTCAAATGGTTGAAGAAATGGTTAATATGGTAATGCAGGGTTTTTATTGTTGAGGTTACCAATGTGTAAGAAAATGAGAATTTAATGTTAAATTAAATCTGATGAAGATCAGCAGTATCAAGTTTTCTTTTTATTTACCCTTGTCCATTAATGATTAAATTAACAACCTTGTCGAAAACTGTATGGTTCGAAATCTGTTATTTTTCTCTAAAGTACCTCTAAAGGCACGAAGACCAAACACAGTGACCAATAACTGATTTTAGCATATTGGGGTGAAGTTCTGTTTCCTTAAGGAACAATTACAAAAATGTAGATCCATTCACATTTTAATTAGGCCTAATATAGGTCTTTCACATATCAATGTACATTTGTTTATGCTTTTATGAAGAATTAATATAAATGGAAGCAAAACCAGAATCTCGTTGTTACAACTCTAAGAAAATGTAGGAAACTGGTCGGAATGTTGTGCAGCAAATGAGAGGTTCATTTGTGTCTGTTATATAAGTATGTATGATTAAAAGTATTTGATGAATCAACAATTACAATGCTTCTTAATAAAGAAATAAACAAGAGGCCCATGGGCCTTAACGGTCACCTGATATATTTATACAGAGAGTTGATTTTGTTTTTAACATGAACAGAAATATAATTCAAAGTGACAAAAAACAATAAAACCACCTTATTCAATATCTAGCATACAGATTTCAGACTAAAAAGGATTTGAAACTAGCACCTCTGATTCTTAACAAGGAAAATGAAGAAAGTTTAGCACACTGACACCTTTGAGCCCCACCCTACAGCCCTTGGGGGTAGGGCTGGCTCAAAATTTTCAAAGTATCAAACTGTCAATTCAAGGTTATAACTCCAATCAAGGTATTAACATGTAATATTCAAAGTATCATTTGCCATTATAAACCATAATACATTTTGCCCCCTCCCCCCCCTCCTTCCCTAGGGGTAAAATTGAGACCCTAGGGTCATAAACCTTAAGACAATTCCATCTATGAAGAGTATTTGATTCTACCATATCTGGGTCTTGAGAAGAAGATTTTTGAAATTTCAGTCAATTCAACCCTTTTTGGCCCCACCCATCAGCCCCTGGGGGTCAG